TACTTAAGGTACCTCTTTCACAATCCAAGCCCTTAGGATTTGTTCTATCACTTTTCATACTAACATTTCCGACTAGTAAAATCCAATACTAATTCATTAATCCTTAAGCCACCAAGCTCTTTAATTCATAGTTATAAGGTTCATTCCTTTGAATTTCCCAATCCATATATGATTTAATCTCAATGTCAAAAATATCACTTTTATTCATTCATGATTTCTATACATGAAGTAAAAGTATATTTCATCACCAAAAATTCATGGTTTATACAATCATCATATCATCATACTTATAATGCATAACTGTACACCATTTACTCATAAATTTGTATATTATGCCTCTTTTATTCATAAACAATAATATTTTCATTTAGGCATTATTAATCATTAATAATCCATGAAAATCACATTTAATTAACTTAGGTAATCTTATGAAATTAACCCAAGGATTATAAGCAATATAGTCAGACATCCTCACCTTATGAAGTGCTGAAATAGTTGCCTTTGTTAAGCCCTCCGATCAACCCCCGTTCTCAACCGATCGAAAGTGAAATTCTGGGCAAAAGGTGAAAGCCAGGCGGCTTTCACGAAAGCTGGGCGGCTTTCGTGGTCTGCAACTACGAACAACCTCCTACACTTGGCGGTTTCCGGCAGTTTCAACTCCTATCGATCCCACGACTCTTCTAAGTTAGATACCACCACTTTATAACAATATTATACACTTTTAAACGTGTAGAACTCATGGTTTAATCCACCATATGATTTCTTAAAAATCATACAACATAAAACTAGTTAAAGAATAAAGGTGCGTTCTTACCTCAAGAACAACCCTTCTCTCCTTGGATTTTCTTTGTTGATCCTTCCTTCAACCTTGGACTAAGTGAGAGAAGACTTCCCCGGAGCTTTTCTCTTGATATGGTCGAATGAAGTGGATGGGATGATAGGGGAAGTATCTCTATGCAATCAAACCTCCAAATAAATCAAGGATGGGTCATGGGGGGTGTCATTTTGTCTCTAGGAGCCTTCCTCCTATCTTGTCCGCCCTACTCATGCATTATTGCTCCCATTTGATTATTTAGAGTCTACAAGACATGTGGGAAAGTTCCCAAGTGGGTGTAGGAAGTTCCTCCCGATTATTCCTACTATTTTTGGCAGGTTGGATCAAAATAATACTTGGGTTGCCCAAACATTTTCCTCAACTTTGGTTGACATTTTATTGGGCTTCTATAATTATCACGATGACCCAACTAAATATTTGGTAGCCCATTCTCATATACTGGACCCGATAAATAATTTAATTAACCGCACATTAATTAAATATACCAATCAATTACTCGAATTTTATTTGCTAGGAAATTCAAATACATATCAAATTTCGAATCCAAATACATTCGGGTGCGGTGTCACACCCTGTGCGGTCGCACCGGTGGCACTTGCCTTGGGCCGGCCCTGTGATCTCTTACACACCTTTACATATGGATCACATTTTTTATCTCACAATTTTTATGTTTAGGACACTATGACTCACATATTTCCTAATCTATTTTCAATTTCATTTTTGACCCACTTTTAATCAACTTTTCTTCCTCGAATGCCGTGTAAGGTCCATTTATGATAGAAGACACATTTCACCATTTTTTTTATCTCATCCAACCTTCTTTTAAAAACTGGAAGGACTTCACTATCTAAATGGTAGAAGACCCATTTCGCCATCTCATCCGCTGACCCCATGATCCTACCCCCGACCATTGGTCCGACCCCACCCCCCATCCGCTCCACCCAACCCCTGACCCCACGGCCTTACCCCCGACTAATACCGCCTTACCCCACCCCAACCCACCACCTTACCCTACCCCAACCCTACCCTTTACCCCCTGGCCTATTACGTTACCCTACCTCGACCCTACCCCTTTACCCCTACAATCTTCCCCTACCTTGACCCCATCCCGACCCCACTCCGACCCCACCCCTTCCCATCCCATCCTCCCCCAACCCGTACCCCTCCCCGACCCCTACCACTTGCCCCTACGAGTAGGGTAAAGGGATTAGGGGTATGAGTATGAGTATGAGGTTGTAGGGGAGTAGGGGTAGAGGGTAATAAGGTCGTGATAAGGGAAGGGGTCAAGGGCGTGGAATTGGGGGTAGGTTGTAGCGTAGGGATAGGGGGTACGAGGTATTAGGGCAGCAGGGTAGGGCCGTAGGGGGTTTATATTATATACTTGTGTTCATGAATGTTGTGTGTCTATATATGTATAGAATTACTCGTCAAACATTTTAATGTTAAATATTGTTTTAAATCATTTGAAGTAAACATGAGCTTACAACACGTACTGCTTATTTTATGCGTTGCTTATTAATGCGAGTCTTAATAAACGTGTCCTTAGTCTTGTAATACACATTCTTGTTATCTACTCGTCAAAATGCTTGTGCATGGTGCACACGCCTTTGTGAATCCTCCTCTACAAAATGTTAGAGGTTTAAAAATTTGACTAAAATGAAAAAGATCATATAAATTCTTCTACTGTCTCAAATCTTTTACGGAGTACTTGAATTCTATACTAAAAAAATCATATAAGTACGATATTTTAAAACAAATTTGATCCAGTCATCTACTATAACAGGTTATCATTTACAAATCAAATAAAAAGCAATGGACAAATCTTATAAAAATTCATATAAATGTGAAGAACATGCATAACAATAATAAAGAAATACAAAAAATGCCAAAAATGGGAGCCAAAAATATATAAACAATTTAAAATGTTAAAATGAAAAAATGAAAACATAAAATTAAATTCTAAAAATAGGGCTAAATCTTTCTATCTTAGTATCTTACCCTTTCTCTTGTCATGTTTAATAAGATTTTAAGTAATAATAATAAAACACAACAAAATTAAAATGAAATAAAACATAAAAAAAATACATGTCTCAACTACCACCTCACCCACCTTCCAACACCCCCACCCCCAATCACCAAAAAAATTTCAACTTGCAAAAAATATCACCGTGACGGCAATTTTTTAAACAAAAATGAATATTTTCAAAGAGTATTGTGACATTTTTTTCAAAAAGATGACATTTTTTTTTTACAAAAAGATGACATTTTTCATTATGTCTAGCTCATTTGTTTCGATGCGTAAGAATAAAAAATGCTTTACGTATTGGTGTGTGTGTATAATTAACACGGGTTCACTGCCATTATTTGCACTTTTTAAAACTTCTAGAACCTAATTCTATGTAATCGTCTACTCCGTATATCAAGTTTCTCTCATTGGTAAATTTTTTTTCCTAGGGCTGCGATAGCACGCCGCTGGGCTGTTTCTCCGGATTCGATCAAGGAGATCGAAGTTCGGTCTTAGTTTCTTGTTTCTTGGCTACGTCTTTTCGTTTTCGTTCGAGTTGATCGAAGGTGGGGTTTATTCTGGTCGATTACTCCGTTCTCGGCTGGGATAGAGTAACAGGAAGAGGGCTTACAAAGGATCGCAGATGGACGAAATTGTTAACAACTATAAGAAGATGACTATTGGGGAGGCAGATAACGAACTCGTTTTTGATACAGAAGAAGTTGGTGAGGAGGAAGTGAACGATGAACAGATTGGTTTCCCGGTGGTCGGGACGGTGATTTCCGATCGGAGGGTTAATTTGCAGGCGCTTCAGGATGCGATGACTTCAGCCTGGCGCCCTGGTATGGGAGTATCCATCAAAGAAATCGATGAAAAAAGGTATCTCTTTACTTTTAATCATGTTTTGGATATGAATCGTGCACTGGAAGATGGACCTTGGGTGTTTGAGAGAGATTTAGTGCTGTTAAAGACAGTTCAGCCAGATGATATCCCTGAAAAACTAATTTTATTTGAAGCAGACTTTTGGGTTCAAGTGCATAATGTTCCCCAAAATTTAGAAATCTAAATTCTGCTAAGCGAATTGGGAATTTTATTGGCTCTTTTATAAAGTTTGATGAAAGAAGTTATGGAGACAAAACGAAATCTTTTTTGAGAATCAGAATCCGTATGGATGTTAGGAAACCTCTGAAAAAGGGCACCTCTCTGAAAAAAGAAGGAAGGGGACATTGGGTTGATTTCAAGTATGAGAAGCTACCCAACTTCTGTTTCATATGTGGGGTGATTGGACACTCGGATAAGTTTTGCTTGTTACGTTATGAGGAAGGAATTATTATTGAAAAATCTTTTGGAGTTGAGCTTAGGGCAGGGGGAGGAGTAAAAACTACCCGGACATGTGCTAATAAGTGGCTGATACAAGACCCAGTGAATTTCAAGGAAGCTGGGCAACAGAGGAAGCATGAGCTCGAGGAGACGCAGTCGGCTGGGACAGGAGCTAGTGCATCAATGCAAGCAGCGGGTGATGTGGAAATGGAACCAGGAGAGACTAAGCGCAGAAGATTATGGGAGGACAAGCTTGAAGAGGACACAGAGGAAGAAGGCATGGCGCTTGATGGACCAAAAAATGGGGAGGTGGCGGCTCAGATCTCCTAGACCCGCCAGTACTGCAGGGGATGTTTTGGATCAAGTTTTCGAGTACTGGAGTTTATTTCATTCTATGTCTTAGGTTTTATTTCCACGGATGTTCTTTTTTTTTTTTGTTTCTTTGTTCCTGTTACCTTTGAAACTCGTACTTTAGGTTGGGAGGTTGGAAGGTCTGCGGTAGGCATCGGTAGCTTTATTTTGCCCAAATTCGGTCTAGCGAGTTATATTGCTTTGAACAAAGTGACTCAGAGTCTCGGTCATGAGCGGGTGATTACATGTGGTCCTTTCATGTTTTTGTACTCCTGTTAATTATTATTTTAATGATATAAGCGCCTTACGATAAAAAAAGATGACATTTTCCCGGGCGTTCAAAATTGGTGGTGTTGGGAGGTATAGGATGAGACGGCAGAAGCCTACATAATTTTGTAAACACTTTTTAAGTATTTTTATTTTTATTTTTAAGAGTTATTTAAAATTAATTTTACAATTTTTATTGAATTGTTTTTATTTTATGTTTAGCCCTACCCAAGCGTCCGAGAATAGTCCAACTCGCGTCACTCGCCGGTAACGCCAAATCATTCGCGACGGCTGCGACGCTTGATTGCCTCCCGACCGGCGCCCGTCCGCCCCTTCTCTCCTGCGATACGATTCTTCCCAAGTTCCCGAATCCCAGCTCTCCGGCCCTTCGACCCCCTTCCCTTCAGTGCATTCTGCCTGCTGCCGTTCCTGGTATTTTGCTAACCTGCTATTTACCTATTCAACTCTTATATTGAGTACTTGATTAGTTTAATGGTTCATAGAAATACAGAATCATAGTTGTTGAATGTTGATTGTTGTGAGTGGATTAGTTTCTGTGTGTCGACTACATGATTTCTTATCTAGTTGATTTGAGTAGTGCTGTTGTGATTTTGTTGTTTTGTAGATGCCACTAATTAAGTTTTTAGTGAAAGGGACCTTAATAAAAAAGGTTCAATGGAAAAATTTGTGTGTGTGAAGAAGTCAAATCCCGAATGTCCTGCTCAAGGTGATGCATTACCCCATTAAAATCTAGTGGAGTTCTATGAGTGCGCTTAAAGTGCATTTGAACTTCAATTTGGACATTTGGTTAAGTTGATTTCCAATTTTTAATTCCCTTTTTGTCGGCTTGGTTTTCATTGTTTGGTATTAATCCCATTTGTTTGAATATGATAGACTGAGAGTGAGTCCCATTGTTTAGAAAGTTAGAGTTGATCCCATTAGTTATTTAGTATTGATATGATTTTGAGTATTAATCCCTTTATTTAGAGTTAATCTGATAAGCTTGTGTTATTAATAGTCCCACTGTTTTTCATATAATTTTGAGGACCCTTCTAGGGACTAGGATAGTATAACTTATCATATGAAAACCAGTAGAGAACAATTATGAATTTCTGATGTACTACGTATTTGTTTGTACTTGATATGGATGAAAACTCTTACCCCTGGAAATATTTGATTTTTTTTAATTTACTTTTTTGCAATTACAGTTATTTAAATATATGATTTTTTTGGCCCGCACTCGATTGAAATGCTAGATCGCCCTTGGCGGTGCGGTGCTAACCAGGCCTTACACCTTCCATCCACGATTCCAGCCTCAGACGTTATGTTTCCCTTAATTTTTTACTTTGTTAATATTTTATTTTAACATTGGTAAAGAAATCAGCTTTAAGTTATTCAACCTTTTCAGCTTTATTTTGTTCCCCTGACATTGGTAATTTTATTTCCTCTTTTTTCAGGTTAATTGGTTTTTTCTGTTTTTCAGTTTCTAAGTGGTTGGAATTGGAATTTTGATTATTAGACATGATTGAAGTTGGAATTGTTACTGAGTTTATTGAAATGAGAATTTAATTATTGTTTTAAATGTCCGAACAATGAATTTGAAAATTTAAATAATTGATAGAAATATTAGAAGTTTTTATTTGGCACATGGTATTGAAATGTATTTATCTAATATAAATGAGGAAAGATGTGGTCATGTGCGTTCTTCATGCTGTATGAAGGAGTTTGAACTTTGAACTGTTACTTTACGAATCGGAAATTTGATTCTTGACCATAGCTCATTAGTATCTTGGTTTATGCCTTCCCAGTTATTTGTATCAGATTGATAACATATTTGGAATAAAAGGTATGTCACTTTTATTATACAAACCATAATAATGTGGGCCAACCCTACATGTCATGTTATTCTTTCATGATTCATTAATATGTAGTGGTTATATCAGATTGTATTCATTTATAAAAATATTATTGATGGCTGTTTTGCAGGTTTGATCAATGCTCCTGTGGTATTCAATCATCTAATTATGTAGGTCCAAAGTTGGCGGGTGTGTACTTCTCCTAAAATAAATGTTCTATTGCGACATTTGAGGGGTTTCTTGAACAATGCTAGTGAGGCGTGCATCTTGGAGCTATGTGTCTTCTTCCCGCAGCTTCTCTTCGTTCAAGTCTACCACTTTTCTCAAGTGTGGGGATGTTCTTAAGCAAGCTCAGGTATTTACAGATGAAGATGTGCTTGCTTACTCTAGAATGAGCCACGACACAAACCCTTTGCATTTTGACCCTGAATGGGCCAACGCTGCTGGATTCAAAGACAGGGTTGTTCCTGGAATGCTCATTGCCTCCTTATTTCCCAGAACCATTGCTTCAAATTTCGTTAGTACTTGTCTCCTTCACTTTACTACTCTTATTGAAGACTTGTGTTGAACCGTATGGTGAATGGTGATAGCTCAATCTTGAAAAGTTTAGGATAGGGGTGTGCAGGCTTATTTTGCAAATATTTCAATCTAGCGGCAGTGGCCAAAGTGGATAATAAAAATTAATTTAATACTTAATTTTATGCATACATCCATCAATGCATCTTTTGTATTAACGTTTTTCACTTGATATCCATGTTCACCTAGGATAGGAGTATCCATATTTTTAAAATGTTGCCAATACACCCGAGACTACTAAGAAATTTCAGATAAGTACCGGAACGTAATATTTCTGATGTTCGGTATCCGAGCTGCATAATTTGGGATCATGTTGTTCGGGTATACTTTCATTTACGACTGTTCGGAATACTTTTTTTGTTGTAGCCAGGAGCTGTATATGTTTCTCAAACATTACATTTCAAGTTGCCAGTGTACATTGGAGAGGAGATAGTTGGCGAAATATGTACAACAAATATCAAGGATTTGAAAACCAAACATGTGTATGTTCAAGCTGTTTATGTTTTTTTCTCCGTAGACCAACTTTATTTTCTCTGTTTTTGATTGTTTCTATTTGTTTATAGGGCCAAGTTCTCCACAAAATGCTTCAAACATGATGGCTCTCTGGTTATTGATGGCGAGGCAACAGCTATTTTGAGGAATCTGAAGGCAGAGCAAGTGTAATTAGTGCAGCATGTAATTGAAATTAGGTGGTGATTTGTAGAACATAGCCATTATCGATTAATATAGTAACAAAATTGAAGTTTAAACTAGACATGGACTCGGGCCGGTTCGGGCCCGGTTCGGGCCTGGGCCCGGCCGGGCCTCGGGCCAGGATAGTTGGGCCCGGGCCCGAACCGCCGGTGGGCGGTTCCGGTTCCGGGCCAAACCGGGCCGGGCCGGGCCTAACCGGATTTTTTTTTTGGCTCTTCTATTTAACCCCCAACCCCTCCCCCTCAACCCCAAACTACCCCAAACCACCTCAAATGGCCCAAAATACCTAATCCAACCCAAAACTTAAAAAAAATTCAAACAAAAAAAAAATTAAAAATCGGACCGAACCGGGCCCGAACCGGCCGGGCCGGTTCGCCAAAACCTCGGCCCGAGCCCGAACCGCCCAGCAGCCGGGCCGGGCCGAACCGAACCGAACCGGTGGGCCCACCGGGCTCCGGGCCGGGCCGGGCCTCACAGTAACCGGGCCAGGCCGGTTCTGGGCCGGGCCGCCCGGCCCGAGTCCAGGTCTAGTTTAAACTATGAAGAAATTCAGTACTTTAAAAGGACTGTACATCAGCGATCAGCGAACAGGGCAGCTCATGCTTTAGCTAAAGCAGCCTGTTCTATGTCTGATAGCACTTGTTGGTTTGATTTTCCTCCTAATTTTATTGTTAATGTCCTAAACAATGATGCTATTAATGTCAATTGATTTTTCTTTCTGCAAAAAAAAAAAAAAAAAGGACTGTACATCATCTTTCTTGTCCAGCAGCTTGTACTCCGTATTAATTTGCCACATAAAATTCAGTATGCTGGCTCATTTTTTCAAAAATAAGGCCCACATTGTGAATGTGAGAAGGAAATCTTAATCCTCAGCGTAACAATAATGGAAAAACCTGAAGTCTATGGTTAATTTAATGGTATTGAAAATGAAAAAAAAAACATGCTCAGAAAGTCAGGTTTTTATGTTAAATTTTGCCAAGGAAATGTGGAAGAAAGTCAGCTTTGATTTTTCAATTTTTTGTACATATATATAGAAATGTACAGCTACAGGGAGTTTGTAAAAATGCCTCAAAATTTGAATGTAAACCAAAATTTTCATTTTTACCCAAGTTTTCTTCTAAATTTATTTTATGCACTTCGTAGTCCATACCGCATATTATTATTTTTTTATCATCAAAACAAAACTTCATTAATTTAAGAAATCGTTAGCCAGATGGCTAGAAATATAACTCGGCGCATGTAAGTAGTCAATAAACTGATCTGAGATGTGAACATGTGACTTAGCCAAAGCATGAGCTACACGATTCACAGACTTTTTACAAAAACAGATTTTAAATGAACTCTTTGTTTCTAATAAGCTACGGATGTCATCAATAATAAGATGGACATAGGAAGATCTTTCATTTTTCTTCAGACTCTGAATCACAGTAAGAGCATTTGTCTCTATCTCCACCTGCTGCCAGTTTGCCTCAATAGCCCCAAAAGAGCATCCCGAATCTCCATGGCCTCAGTTTCCTTTGCCGTCCACCCAGCCTTTTGGCTCGCACCTCGGCCCTTCAAAAAAGAGCCATCTTCACCACGAGCCACCCATGCCCATGTTCTAATACCTCCCTGTTGATTAACCGCTGCATCCACGTTAGTTTTGACACCTTGACCCGACTTCTTCCATCGGGTGTGTTTGTCTCCGACCGAGGCTCCCTCATTAATTTTCTCCCTCCCTCTAACCTCCCGCCAAGCTCCCGACATGTTATCCGCCACTCAGATAACAGTCTCGGAATCCTCCTCTTTGTCCTTCCAAACCACGATGTTTCTTCTTTTCCAAATACCCCACAATATGGCCACAAATCTGCTGCTCAAATTCGGGTCAGCCTGCATGATGTTGGTCTTCAGCCAGGGATCAAGACCCACCCGGAGTTCGTCTGTTCGAACTCCTGCAGACTGCCAAGCCGTCCGCGCCTTGGGACAAACTCGTAGCGCGTGATCTGCATCTCCTTCTCCGGAGCCGCATAATTTGCACCCTCCAACAATATTTACACCACGCTCCTTCAAATTATCAACCGAGGGGAGTGAGCCATCCAGGACTTGCCCTGCAAAATATTTAAATTTTGGAGGAACATTTAGTTACCAAAGTTTCTTCCAATCTTGCCACGCTCCCTGGTAAACATCGCCCATAAGAATTTTATAATAACTTTTAACAGAAAAAATTCTGTTCTTTTCACCTGCCCACCAATAACCGTCCGCTCGGTCAACCAAGCTAATTGGAATGCTCATAATTTTATCCCTGTCAGTAGCATTAAACAGTCTACTGATTCTCTCATAATGCCACTTCTTACCCGAGCCATCACGTTGAGCCGCCACATTCATATCACGAACATTGGCCATCGTTGGAGTCATTCTTCCCGACTCCGTTCCGGGAAGCCATGCATCCGCCTAGACTTGAACGTCAATACCGTTCCCCACTCTTTTTCTTGTATTATTTTTAATAATCTCCTGGGTTTCAAAAATGCTCCGCCAGATAAAAGAAGGATTACTACCCAACTTTGCCTGTAAAAATGTTGAATTAGGATAATACCTGGCATGAAGGACTCGGCTCATTAAGCTTCCAGATTCATTAATCAGCCGCCACCCTTGTTTCGCTAGCATAGCCAAATTAAATTCCCGTAATCTTCTGAAACCAAGCCCCCCTGCATCCTTTGGTTTGCACAAAGCTTCCCACTTTCGCCACCTTAACCCTTTCTGATCAAATTTTGAACCCCTCCACCAGAAGCCATTCATTAATTTCTCAACCTCATCATACAAATCTTTGGGCAATAAGAAAATAATCATGGCATAAGTAGGCATAGCCTGTATAACATTTCTTAATAGAACCGCTCTCCCAGCCCGGGATAAAAATCAATTATTCAACCTTTTTATTCTGTTGAAAATACAGTCCTTCAAATACCCCAAAGTAATTGATTTATTTTGCCCAATCAGTGCCGGTAATCCTAGATAATGATTTAAACCGCTCTCTCTCGGGATACCCAACTGATTAGTACAAAAATTTCTTAAAAACCTCCCCCACATTCTGACTAAAGGCTAAAGTGGATTTATTAAAATTAACCATCTGCCCTGACAATTCTTCAATATTTTATAAGAATATTTTTAACCGCAACACACTCGGAACTAGAAGCTTTAAAAAATAAAACACTGTCATCAGCAAAAAACAGGTGTGATACCCGAGGGGCACGTGGCAAATAGCTACCCTGTGAAGCTCTCCTCTACCTTCGGCCTGCTTCAACATTGCACTCAGACCCTCTGCAATCAAAATAAACAGGTAAGGTGATAACGGGTCCTCTTGTCTCAACCCTCTCTTCGGAATAATTGGCCCCAAGAATTCTTTGTCAAATTGAACATATTACGTAACTGTAGTGACACAGAGCATAATTATTTCCACCCATCATTCACTGAACCCCATCTGGATCATAATCTTCTTTAGATAGTCCCAGGCTCCCACCTGACCCTATCATAAGCCTTACTCATATCCAGCGTTAGAGCCACATAGCCATATTTACCCGTATTCTTCTGTTTCAAATAGTGTTGAGTTTCAAAGGCCACAATAATATTGTCCACGATAGATCGTCCCAGAATAAAATCGCTCGGGGTTTCTCCAACCAAACCTCCCAACAACCCCTTCAACCGATTTGCAATGACTTTAGAAAAAAATTTAAAAATCACATTGCAAAGAGCTATAGGCCTCCAATCTCCCATACTCTCCGGTTTATCTTTCTTAGGGATTAGAACAATATTCGTTATATTTAACTCATCTGGCATAATACCTGTATCGAAGATCTGCCGCCAAAGACGAGTCACCTCCGGTCCTACCACCCCCCATTTTTTTGGAAAAGGTCGGGTTCATGCCGTCTGAACTTGGAGCTTTCTCAGGATGCATATCAAACACTGCAGCTTTGACTTCCTCCTGGGTAATCGGTTTCAATAAGGACCGATTCTGGACCTCCGTAAGCTGCCGCATCGGCCCTAGCTCGACCACGTTCACGTTCGGTCCCTAGTGCTGGAATAGAAGTGTAAAATACTCTCCCACCATCTCGCTGACCTTACCTCTATCCGTGACCCACGTCCCATGCTCTGCCCGGAGACCCATTAATTTGTTTTCCTCCGCCTCTGCTTGACCGCATTGTGGAAAAATCGGGAATTGATATCCCCTTCTTTCAGCCAAAATTCCTTAGCCCGCTGCCTCTAGTAAATATGTTCTCTCTCCATTAAGTCCTGTGTAACTAATTTAACTCTGGCAAATTAGGCTAGGCTAGCCGCATCATCCTTGCTCTGTAACCAGGCCAATCGTTTCTTGCAACCCATAATTTGATGTCTGAAGCCTTTCGGCCGTCTATGATCCCAACGAAGTAGCTCTTTTCCACAAAAATTAATTCTTTCACTGACCGTTAGATGAGAGCCCGCATTCCAGCTATTTGTAACAATCGCCCTACATTCCTTCTCTTTAAGCCACATATTTTCAAATCAGAATCTTTTAGCTGTACGGTTATGAACCGTAGGACTAAACTTTATCCATAGCGCCATGTGATCACTTGTCAGAGCCTCAATGGATGTAGCTTGGTATTCTTTCCTCATTCCATAATTGTTTTATAGTTAGATTATACAACGTATAAGAAACTCATGTGGAACACATTAGTAAAAAATGAACAAAAATGTATATCAAAGCTTGTATATTAGGAAGTGGTCCAGCCCAACTGGTCACAGACTCACTCTCGCTTACGGGAGGTCTTGGGTTCAAAATTCAATGGGCTGAGTTTCAACCATGATTACTCCAGCCCCCCCAGGCCCCCTACCCCAGACGCCCAGTAGAGTAAAAAAATAGAGTATTTAACTGCAGTTTACGCTACGCTATATACTTCGTAACTTTTTCCGATAGTTATTGATACTCATTTGATTTAGTTATGTCTTATTTAAAGACATAAAACTAATTATATGCTAAAAATGTTTTTTAAAAAAATCACTTTTCATTTTTCCATAGTCTACCTGAAGAGTAGCCATGCCCATGGTGCTCCCAATGAAAGAACGTATCTTCAGGATGGATGTCCATTTTCGTTTTTCCCAATTGCGCACCATAGAGTCGTAAACCACCTATGGAGGCTAATGTTGCAGTGGCGAGAAAAAAAGCCTTTCTACCAGAACCCTTTCGGTCTGAATCCTTTCGGCCAAAATGGGATAGAAAAATAATACTCCCTCCATCCCAATTTGTAAGATACATTATGGTTTACGATGTTTGACTGACGATAAAGCAAATTGATCCCTGTAAACATTCAAATTAGTTCTAGAAAATAAAATTTACATATTCCGAAACTACATTAATTAAAACCGCTACAAAGCCTGCAAAAAGTAATTCAAATTTCATAAACTTTTGATATATAAAATAAAAGACTAAGAGTGATTTATGTTGACCAAGTGAATAGTAAATGTATCTTACAATTTGGGACTGAAAAAGTAAAATTAAACCAAGCACTAAAGAAAACTGAAATACAAAGAAAAACATAAACTGGAATGGAAATGTGAATCGAGATTAATAAACTGAAACGATGGCACTGAGTTGGAAAGAAAAACTATAAGGGAATCAAATCTATTTTTTTTATAAACTAAATAGAGATATTTGTTACCTAGCACTGACGATCGATGCAAGCAGAACTAATCGATCTTATAAGATGAAATCTAATCAAATCTCTATAATCCAAACTATATGACATATTCAGGCAGCTCCCATTTGAAAATTTACTTTTTGGATTTTAAGCAAGGTCTCTATAATCCAAAGTCCAAACTATATGACATATTCAAGTCTCTGTAATCTACTTTTTGAGTAAAGTACTTCTTGGATAAAACTCTACATATAAAGCTTCCTATCAATAAAATTCTACATAAAAACAAGGAATTATAAACCTTAAGTGAATAAGGAATTCCAGCAACACTCGAAAATTGAGAACATCTCCTTTTTCAGCTTATGTTAATAGATTGAGCATAACACAAGTCATCTAAAATTGAACTATGCACCAAACAATCATTATTTTCGCTTACTAAGAACTAAACAAACAGCCACTGTGAAAATTTGGTTGGTTCTCTACAAATATATACTTGAGGTAGTCTAAGTAATATGTCATTATTTAAAGTTGGAACTATGTACTAATTCTTCAACCTTGAGATGTTTTCCAGCTTCCAAACACGCATGGAGTGAAAAAATCAAAGATGATCTGTTTGAAGAATGATTAACTATTTTCATCTTACCAGAAACTTTGAGTAAATAAGTGGCGTTCACAAGTTTACTTGAAATCAGAAAATGGTTCGCACACACAATCGTTGTGTTGGAAGGGAACAATTGAAATCACTAAATCAAGAATTTGGAAATATAAAGATCAAAGAGGAGGCCAAGACGATTACATTTTAGGGGTACTTCCTTGAACTCTTTAGGTAATTCATAATATAAGTAAAGATGTTCTAATATTCTTTTGGAGATATTGAAAGAAATATGCATCTCTTAAATAAAATGATTTCTGACTTCGGAACTAACTTAAATGCCTAACACTTCTATTTTATGTTTATAGCCCTGGTAGTTGTTTCTCTGCCATAATTGAATTTTGAGAGATTATTCATTTTTCTGCAGGCAGCAAATGAATGTACCTCAAACTTTTAGCATGATCACAAATACACCAGAGCTTAGATGTTATGTGCTCAAAGTCTCAAACCTTAGAAGCTGTTCTCTTCACCTGATCTGAATGTTTCTGATCAGAATTTTTTAAGTTCTGATCTGATCTGATATGAATTTTTTTGATCTGATCTGATCTGAATTTTGCTGATCTGATCTGATCTGATCTGATCTGAATGTTCCTGATCTGATCTGAATGTTCCTGATCTGATCTGAATGTTCCTGATCTGATCTGAATGTTCCTGATCTGATCTGAATGTTCCTGATCTGATCTGAATGTTCCTGATCTGATCTGAATGTTTCTGATCTGATCTGAATTTTTCTGATCTGATATGATCTGAATAAAATAAGAATAAGCAATAAGTAATAAGATTAAGACGAACAGAACAACTTCTTAGGGTTGGTTTGCAACTCCTTTTAAAAAAGCACTTCTCAGCTTTTGACTTTAAAAAAACACTTATTTTCCCAAACACTACAACTTTTATTTTTCTCGGCTTCCGCGTCAAAAGTGCTTTTACTTTTTCTATTACACAAAAAGCACTTATTTTACCAAACACTACCCACTTTTGCTTTTCAAAATCACTTTTTTCTCAAACACTATCAACTTTCATTTAATCACTTCTCCCAATTTCATTAAAAAAACATTTTTAAAAGCAGATGCTGTTGCAAACAGACCCTTAGTCACTCTTAAGGAGTATCACTCAACACTTTTTTATGTTAATAGGCTCATTGAATTGAATACATCATCAGAAGCTTTATGTCGTATAGACTTACCTCGTATGGAATGAGAATGAACCCCATGAGCTTTCTTAGGCTAATTGAAAGCCATTCACTCTGATTAAGAAATCAAGGTAGCAATGTTAGTCTTGATGAATTTGGAAAAAAATTGGAAATTTAAATCTGAAAATGAAGATTGTAAGAATAGAGTATATATGATAGAGATGAGAAATCGAGATGGAGTGTCATGCCCACATATTCGCCAGTAAGGGAAGATATTCGGCACATATCTTCGCCGACAACAGAATTGACAAACAAAGCTCTGGGTGATCGAAAGACCTTGATCGATTCTAAAGGCTAGGGTGTGATATCAATGCTTGAGGTGTGAATTCGAACGGTGAGAAAGTGAGAAAGTGAGAAGGTGAGAAAAATGGACTGAAATGTGAGGAGACATTTCTGGAAGAAGAGAAAGTGAGAAGCTGTTCTCTTCGCCTGATCTGAATGTTTCTGATCTGAATTTTTTAAGTTCTGATCTGATCTGATCTGAATTTTTCTGATCTGATCTGATCTGATCTGAATCTTTCTGATCTGATCTGATCTGAATCTTTCTGATCTGATCTGATCTGAATCTTTCTGATCTGATCTGATCTGATCTGAATCTTTCTGATCTGATCTGAATGTTTCTGATCTGGTCTGATCTGATCTGAATGTTTCTGATCTGATCTGAATCCTTCTGATCTGATCTGAATCTTTCTGATCTGATCTGATTTGAATATTTCTATAATTATAATTATAATTAAAATTATTATAATTGCAATTACAAATATAATTTAAATAAAATTATAATTATAATCGTAACTATAAAAATAATAATAATAATAATAATTAAAATTAAATTTAAAATGAAAAAATTTATACTTATTACACTAATTATAAATATAGATATAATTATAATTGTAATTATATTTTTAATTATAATTACTTATATAATTTTAATTGTAATTATAATTACAATATTTATCTCTATAATTGTAACTATAGTTATCAATATTATTATAATTACTCCGTAAAATAATTACAATAGTAATAATAATAATAATAATAATAATAATAATAATAATAATAATATTAATAATTACAATTACTAATAATTATAATTATATTAACATTAATTATAATATTATAATATAATAATAGTAATATAAATACAATTAATATTACAATAATGATATTATTATATTCATATTATTATTACAATAATATAATAATAATATGATTATTATTATTATTATAATTAGTATTATATTATTATAATATTATATTATAATTATAATTATAATCATAATTATAATTATGATTGTAATTATAATTATAATTATTATAATTATAATTAATTACAATTATAATTATAAATATTTATAGATATAATTATAATAAATACAATTGATTATACTTATAATTATAAGAATTATGATTGTAATTATAATTATAATTACATATAATTGTAATATAATATTATATTAACATTAATCATATTATTATTATTATATTGTAATAATAATAATAATAATAATAATAATAATAATGATAATGATAATGATGATGATGATGATGATGATGATGTTGATGTTGATGATGATGATAATAATAATAATAATAATAATAATAATAATAGTCTTCTTAATAATTACATTTATATTACTATTATTATATTAAAATATTATAACTATTATTAATATCTTATTTTTGTTATCATATTATTATTAATATTATTAATAATAATTATATAATAATAATAATCATAATTGTAATAACAATATTAATAATAATAATTAATATAATAATAAAAGTGATAAATCATGTTTGAACTTTTCTGATCTGATCTGATCTGAATGTTTCTGATCTGATCTGAATGTTTCTGATCTGGTCTGATCTGATCTGAATCTTTCTGATCTGATCTGAATCTTTCTGATCTGATCTGATCTGAATCTTTCTGATCTGATCTGATCTGATCTGAATTTTTCTGATCTGATCTGATCTGATCTGAATTTTTCTGATCTGATCTGATCTGATCTGAGATTCTGAATATAATAAGAATAAGCAATAAGTAATAAGAATAAGACGAACAGAACAGCACCTGAAGGTCGAAACTCGAAAGCCGAACGGGTGTAATTCCACATTAAACCCACTCGACGGGAGAAACCTGCATACATATGGGGAACAGATAAACAGATAACCAGAGTTCAAATAAGATCTCAAGAAGATTTCGTTTATAAAAGTTTGTTACACTTTCTCTTTTTGATAAATTTTTTCTTTAAAAATATTTAATTACCCTTACTTTTTTCTACTTTTTATTTTCTCCTTTCTACTTTTTCACATTCTCTCCTACTTTTTCTACACAATTCATTACCTCTACTATTCCCCCCTTAAATCTTGTGTCAAAACCTAACATAGAGATAATTTAAATACGAAGAGAGTATTGAATTGCAGTGTATTGTCCTAGGTAGACCTGCACAAAAATGGGTTCGGACCGGGCTCAGACCGGACTTTTTATAAATTTTCTGTCCATCATATGAGGTCGGGCACGGCACGGCCCGCAAAAACGGGCCTAATATAACCCCATGTCTATACCCGCACGTTAGAGTAGGCCGGGTAGTCCATCAGGCCGCCAGGCCCGCGAAAACTTTAAAATTTTCAAAATTATATGATTTTTAATACTTAATAAATAATATTACAACATTTAAAAAAATTGCTAATACGCTTTAAAATGTTTATATGTCTTTAACGACATACACAAAAAATACTTACACAAAAATAATAATGAGAAACTATATCTAAAATTTAATATTCAAACACAAAATATTATACTCCCTCCGTCCCGCTAAGATTGTTCCATTTTACCTTTTCGGGAAGTCCCACTAAGATTGTCCCACACCAAATTTGGTAAAGATTGTGTGGCTATAAACCATTCTTACTTTATTCTTACTTTATCAATTTAATATCAACCACACAAAACCATTTTTTTTAATAATCGTGCTACCTTTTTCCATCTCAATCTTAGTGGGATGGAGGTAGTAGTTAAGTACAAAAATAGATATTTTAATGATTGAGCTAGTTGTTAAGAGTTAAAAACTTAAATTTAAACATAATAAACTATAAATATGTATAAACATAAATTAGTAAATATAAATATACATGTACACATATAAATAAATTACTATATATATAAAATATGTGTACATATACTAAATGTCCCGAACGGGCCTACACCCAAATCCAAACCCGCTCATATGTTATTGCGGGCCGGGCTAGCCCCGGCCCAACAGGTAATATATATGCCCAAGCCATCCCATTTGTGAGAGCAGCTCAGACGGCCCGGGCGGGCCGGGCTGGTTTTGTGCAGGTCTAGTCCTAGGCTTGCACATGTCTCGAGGAGAATGCTAATTATTTATGTACAATATTTTACATCAAAACACATTACTAATCAACCTACCTTCTATTTCAGACCACTTTTTAAACTACCAGACTGGGCTTTCACATATTTTTAAAATACATTATGTTTCAAATACTTTTTTTAAACTGGACTTTCAAAGATTTTTTGTGTGTGAGAAAACACACATTAGAAATTAAATAACAATCTTGTTCCATGTCCCTTTTCGAAGGTTGTTACGATTTAATGTATATGTGATTATTCACTCTTTCAAAGGTTTCAGATGTTTGAGCTCATGTGCTTTGTTAACAGCATAAAAATAATAATATGCCAAATTATACTAAACTGTTAACAGAGTCTTTTTCTTCATTAACAGAAGGAGGTCGAGTGAAGCTAAGATGAAAAAGGCTCTTATAGAATATGCTAATTCATATACTCACTTAACTTATCAAATTATTATTATTATAAAAAACTCGTGTTTTACTACATTGCATCGATCTTTGGCGTGTTTTACTACATTACATAGAATGATATCATTCTATGTTTTCATAGGTATTCATAAATAATGCATTTGAAAATAGAACATTTGAAGAATATTTTGATGAATAACTCTTGTATCGTACTACCTCTGCCCCAATTGATTTGCAATTTTGACTTTTTTTGGTCAAACATTTTCGTTTTAATTTGTTCACTTAATTAGGATGTCAATTTTTAATTATATTCTAGTTTGGAGTTTACAACATTGAAGAGATTTTAATGTAATTTATGAATATGTAAATTTTAATTATTAAAAGTGTAATTAATTATCTATAGGAAGGATTAACTTTTATTATTGGTTGACCAAAAAATGTTGACTATGCAAAAAAATTGGGACGGAGGGAGTATATCAGAAGTGGTAAGATTATATTGTTCGTATTGTGCGTGGAATGATGCAATCATGCAATGGATAATTTATTGATCTTGATCAACCCTAAATCTAAATTAAAAGTTTCTTTTATTTTTTCATCAATTATTCCATATATGATTCATTTTGTGTAAAATGAACACCACTCACTAATATCATGCTCTAAGCCTCTAACTCTAATTTTGTCTAATTCCATTTTTTGTTTTGCCATACATACTATTTAATTCATATAGCCCCTCACACTTTCACTAATTAGTTCAGATGTTGTGGCCCTTGTTGATTGATTTACACCACTTTGTGAATGCGAATCCTGTTTTGCTTTTCTCTTATCTTATTAAGCTGCTCTACTATTAGGAAAATGACCAAAATATTATCTTTATTTTTTAAAAAGAAAAAATATGACTGGCTACTTTTTATTAAAATATACTACCTCCGTCCCAAATTAAAGATCGACCAATTTGACTTTTCTTGATCAATGGTGTTAAAGTTTATACAATAATTTTAGGTATTATATTTGTGTGTAATGTATAAATTTTACGAGTATATTTTTATGAAAGATTTTTTAATAAAGAATAAGCTTATATAATTTTCATAGTTTAAATAATTATATATTAAAAGATATGATTGGTCAAAGTTGATCATCATTGACCAAGAAAAATCAATTTGGCTAATCTTTTTAATTTGGCTGCCTTAATTAGATATTTGTTGTAAATTTCTGAGAATGACAAGTGTAAATTGTTCATCCTTGTCATCAGGATACTAATCCAATTCAAGTCCAGCTAGGTTTAATTCTGCCAGCAAAATATGTAGAATTGTTATGTGATGATTCATCACCAAACCCAGCTAGTATAAATAAGGCTTGATCAATCCTTTGTAATTTAACTCAGAAATTCATAGAAATCTTGATATTAAGAAGTATAATTCAGATCTTATTATTCATATATCTATCTCTTTAATTTGTTCTTCATCTTCATTTCACAACACGTTATCAGTACGAATCTGCTCAAAATCTTCAAGAAATCATCATCTCCAGCAGGTATTAGCATCAATATTTATTACCATCTTCTCTTAGTATTCAAACTTGAAACATATGTTCAA